AGCCTCACATTTCCCTGGGAGCGCCTGCCTTCAGGGACAGCTACCTGCCAAAAGGCAGCGCAGGGTTTTACCCGTCTAAAGCATGCCATGCCATGGGCCTGCGGCTGCCTCAGAGCTGCCCTGGCCACTCACTGGCAGCCAAAGAGCCACATCGGAGAGGTGCGAAATGGAAAAGACTGCATTTGCTTGTGTCTACCAGAGAGACAACAGGTCCCGGCACACGCTGTTCTGTCTGGGCAGAGGCCACGCTGGGACCGCTAGGAATGCAACAACTGTGCGATGTCGAACTCCAGGAATACGCTGTGGGTACTCACTGTGTTCTGCAGGAGCACTGGCAGCCAAAGAGCCACATCGGAGAGGTGCGAAATGGAAAAGACTGCATTTGCTTGTGTCTACCAGAGAGACAACAGGTCCCGGCACACGCTGTTCTGTCTGGGCAGAGGCCACGCTGGGACCGCTAGGAATGCAACAACTGTGCGATGTCGAACTCCAGGAATACGCTGTGGGTACTCACTGTGTTCTGCAGGAGCACTTCACAGTTATCTGCTCTACATTTGCGAGCATCTGTCTGCTCAAGAGCTTCCCCTGAGCCGTGAGAGCTAGGACCCCCAAATTCCTCTTACTGTAACTTAAAGCAAGGTCAGGGGTTGGTTGTGCCAGGGCAACGCGATGCTTCTCATCCATCCAAGCAGAATCAATAGGCAAGTGAAAGGGACTGGCTGGGGCACCCTCCCGCCCCACTGCCCTAATCTCAAGCCTCCCACGCACGCTTTGCGCTTCCCCCCCAGATTCGTACATGGACATTGCTGACCATTTGCTTTCATCAGGGAGCGAGGGGAAAGCGCACAGCTTGCTGCATTCCTCGTTCAGGCTGTGCACTTCGCTCCCGCTCCCTGGCAGGGAGAGAAAGGGGAAGAGCAAGCAATGCTGCTACTAATCTCAGGGGGGGGGGGAGGAGTGACGTTTTGGCCCTTCACTTTCCCCTGTGTACACACAGCTCCCTTCACCCCCTAACCCTGACACCTGCACCCCCAACTCCTCCTTAAGGGCCCAAGCAATGCTGGGTAAATAGGCTAGTCTATTATAATGAAGTGAACAGCCTCTCCAGTTTTGCCATCTGTAATACAAGGCTGCACTGTGCTACACGCGATAAATGGACTTGGACTTACACTCTGCCCGTATTTCAAAGGAGACTGCCTGCCAGTTGAACAGTGATGCTAAGCAACACACACACGGATTGTGAAGCCTTTCTGCATTTATGTAGCTCACAGCCCACGAGGGAAACAAAACAGACCGTGACACCAGAACCAAGCAACAGACATTTCCTCCCTGGAGCGCTGACGCGCACGCCTGACTCTCGGCTGTCACGGCGATGGCTGTGCTCCATCACGCGCATGAGCAGCAGGGAGAAGGATTATCTTCTGGCCTTTCCCAGTTCAGGGAAGACCTTCTGTTCTCTATTGGACGAAGAATCGGGTTGGTGTCTAGCCCCATGTGCCAGCACAGCGACCAGCCTGCCCCCAGACAGCTTAGCACAGCTAACTGTGGATTACCAATGTCAGCCACCAAAAGGAAAATCCAGCACCCAAAGCAGCTGCCTCTGGACTTGAGAACTCCCTGTGCTGACAAACCAGAGTTCTTAGCCACAGCAGGGCAGTGTTCTGCTGCCCCCTCTTCCAGAGGGCAGGGTAGGACAGTTCCCCCAGAGGCTGGCACTCCCAGTTCAACTCCAGCAGTCTGCACTTCCCCCTCCTGAGGACAGTGCCACATCCCGGCTGTGACCTGGCCTGTAAGGATGGGGGAGCAGGGTTCTGGAAGTGAAGGGCTGCCAATGGCAGGGAGCGCAGCATCGGGAGCGGAAGGGAAGCGTCTCATTTGTGAAAGTTCAGCGTGGTGGAAACGCCGCAGACCGTTAGATCATCCGCCCTTAACCCAGCCAAGGACGGCACGAGCCAAGAGAGCACTGAGGCAAGTGCACTGGCCGGATATTTAGCCAAATTCCTCCCACCCCAAAAGCTCTAGGGCTGCTCCGAGAGCCAGGCCACTGGAGGCGAGTGTGCACAGGCTGCATGGTTCCTTAATTTGATTAGGAAGCGGAGAGTCACTCAACTGCCGGCATTCTAATTAGAGCGGGAGCGGTGGCTCTTGGCAAGCCGGGGGAAGCCTGCGCGGATCCGGACTCTTCGCATATGAAACTTGGATGGGAAGAGGGGCAGAAGCACCAACAGCCGAGTAAGGAAACTGCCTTCATGTGCAATGACCCTGACACCCTTTCATCAGGAAGAGACGCTAGCAGGGCAGCTCTCCAAATTGGCTGGCTGTGAACAGTAGGAAGGAGACACAAATCACCCTGGAAATGTGGGGATGGGGCGGCATCTGACAGCTCTGTGGATGAAAGGGGCTGCAGGTCCCCAAGAACGACCGGAAGGGGAACAAAGCAGAGCTGCGTAGCCAAGGGATTCTCCATCATGCAATGGCACAAAATAAGGCCGAGCTGACAGGGCCCCTGGGGGAGTCCACCAATGTACCAGATACACAGCTGGTCACCCCCATTCCACTGGGGCCAAATCACGTGCCTGGAATAGTCCGGCACAGCCCTAGCTCCCCTGCACCCCTTACCGGGCCGCTAGGCTATGTCTGTGCTGCCAGCGCAGCCGCTGTAGCGTTTCCCTGCAGCCACTCAGCAGAGCCACAGAGGGGTCTCCGGCTGCTGTGCGAGGCGATACACCGCCATCCCACAAGCCACCCAGGGATCTGCAGTGCCACCCTCAAAGTAACCCTCTCAGAAGATAATGCAAAGGGGCGTTCGAGCAGAGGCTGGGAGCCTGGAGGGGTGGGTTCTGTGCCAGCTCTGCAGGCTGCCTTGTGAGCGGGCTCAGGCAAATCACTTCTCCATTCGAAAGCCGGGCACATGCGCGCACAAATAAAGCTGCCTATTTCTCAGGGCTCTGAGGGCTGGCGGTGACTGGCAAAGGAGAGAGCTTGCTGTGTGCCTGGATTGTGCTTGTTGGCCTGCTCCAGCCTTACATTACAGCCCTGCATCTGGTCTCCAGTGCACGAGAGGCACAAGGCATTCTCAGCCCTCTCACCATTGCCATCAGGGTCTGCTTTGACTGCCGTGTACATGTCCCGGACGCTCTGAGGGGTCATCCACCGGCCGTTCCCTAGGCGGGTGTGGGTCAGCACCTGGAATTCCAAAGAAGATGGTCACATCCTGGGCTAGCATTCGCTCCTTTGGGATGCTAATTAAGCCCTAGGGGCTGGTCGCTTCTCTGGGGGACATCAGCTGGCCAGGCTCCAGTGCATCACCTGAACGTGTGCGCCAGACAGAAGCTACAGCCTCGTGACCAGCACTTGCTTTAGCATGGCAGTGCACGCCCCCATGAAGCACAGCTGGGGCCAGCCAGCCAGCTACGGTCTCAGAGGGGCGGCCAACCGCAGCGAGAGCGCCACTGTTTTCACCTGCGCCCAAGGGACTCAAGGGGAAGGGGGAGAAAGGGACCTTTGCTCTCTGAAGAGGACCAAGCGCCCCGAGAGCTCCAGCTCTGCAGCAGCGCAGGGAAGGCAGGGCACGAAGGCAGGCAGGCCTCGCTAGCCCCCCGGCCACCTGCAGACCTGTGGAGCGCAGGCGGGAAGGAGCTGCTCAGCGTCCCAGTGAGCCTCCGGGCTGTGCCTCCCCACGTGCTGGCAGCAGGCCCCACCTCACGGGCTTACCCTAGCGCAGCGGTTCTCAGACAGGGGGCGGGGCCCCTATTCTAATGGGGTCACTGGGACTGGCTCAGACTTGCTGGGACCAACGCCAAAGACTGAGCCCCACTGCCCGGGGCTTCAGCACTGGGTGTTGGGGCTCAGGCTAAAGGCTTCTGTCTTGGCCCCGCCGCCCGCTAGGGCTTTGCCTCTCCAGCCAGGGCGGAGGAACTCTGGCAGGCTCAAGCTTCGGTCCCCACTCCTGGGGTCATGCAGTCCCTCCGCATGCAACACAGGGGGAGAAGCCCTGCCCCAGCGACTCAGCAGCTTACACACAGCTCTACACTCCTAAGCAGCGACCCTGCAGCGCTCGGCCACCGTGGGCAGGCCTGGCTAGCTCTGCAGACCTCCCCACGCAGGGCCCCGCCGGGGGACCCACCACAACACTGCCCATTCTCTCAGCTCGGCACAGGTCCGCGCACGGGACCCCTCGCCCAGCCCATCAGAGCAGACGTTTCCTAGCAGGGCCTGCGGCTGCAAGCCCCCGGCAGGATCCCGGACACTGAATGTTTCCCAGACTCCTAAGACGTGTCTCTTCCACGCAGCAGGCCTGCGGAGTCCCAACCTCCTCCAGTCAGTAGGAAGGTGCAGTGCCAGGCGCCAGCCGCCAGCCACACACAGCATGGGAGCAGCACACACG